GCATCAATCGTAATGAAGGAAAGAGACGGTGAATAGAAAATAGTATCTTTTGTCCAACTCCAAAATCCAAATACAGAACAAGGAAGAAGATACTTCTGTCGATTGCAAAACGTTGGGCTTCTTTTGTTTAAATTGGGTGAGGCATTTGTTCAACACTTACCAGGCTTGTTTCACCTTTGGGCTTTGCAGCTTGAGCCTAGAGATTGCAATCATTCGGGAATTTGTTAACATACAATTAATCCATGAATACTTTGGGTAATTAATTAAAAAACATAAGTACTTAAATTATATTTTTCGTTAATTTCAAATGTTTAACTTTTTTTATCAAATTGATTGTTTAATTTTAAAGCAGACAAAGATTGTCAAATTCACGATAGAAAAATGGCCCAGAAATGATTTAAGGTTGGTCAATCGAGATTTTTACCTTTCATATTAAGAAGGGTTCTTTGTTTCCTGAAACAGCCATGGCAGTCTATGTCAACCCTCATCACCATGCAACAGAGCTGCTAACACGCAATTAAGAAGAACAAAAACTGAAGAACGTCACCGTTTAAAAGGATAAGTTCTGCCACGAGAAGATGGATTGAAAGCCCTTTCTCAGAAGAGGAGGTTTGGTTAACTATTAATTCTTCGGATGGCTCGAGAGCTCCCGGTCTGGATGGGTTTAGCCTGGATTTTTTCAATAAATTTTGAGAGGACATTAAAGTCGACGTTATGAAGTTTATGAATGATTTTTATTGGGGTAATATTGAAGATCTCTCCTTTAATAAATCGTTTATTGCTCTCATTCCGAAGAAAATACAAGCTGTCTATCCGGAAGATTTCAGACCTATTTCATTAGTGGAGAGTATTTATAAAATTGTGGCGCGTTTATTGGCGAAGAGATCGGTGTCTTGCATTAACGAAGTAGTTGGTGAGAACCAGTTTGCCTTCATGGCTGGTAAACAGATTTTATATTGTTCTTTGATTGCGAATGAGATTGTTGACGATCTAAAAAAAATAAAAGTGAAGCAATCATGGTGAAAGCAGATTTTAGCAAAGCATAAGACACAGTTGGCTGGGATTTCTTGAATATGACCTTTAAGAAAATGAGATTTAGTAAAAGATGGAGGTATTGGATTTATTTGTGCATCTCGACGCCTATGATTGTTGTTTTGGTTTACGGATGTCCGTCGAAATATTTTTCAATCAAAAGGGGACTTAGGCAAGGCTGTCTGCTATCTCCGTTTTTATTTAATGTTGTGGGCAAGGTGCTTAGCGGATTATTGAAGAAAACGGTTGATATCGATGTGTGTCAAGGGGTGCATATTGGGAGAAGAGTTAGTATCTCCCACATTCAATTCGTTGATGATTTAATTTTGTTTTCGGTAGCCAAAGAAGATAAGATACACAATTTGTTTCGTGTTCTAAGAATCTTCGAGGTCGCTGCTTTTTTGAAATTAAATATGCGGAAGACGAAATTATTTGGTATTAATGTGGATGATTGCAAAGTTAAAGGGTGGGCTGACTCGATGTTGTGTGATTGGGCAAAGTTGCCTACGATGTATTTGGGACTGCCATTAGGCTTAAAAAAAACCTTAAACTGATGTGGCAACCTATTGTGGAGAAAGTCATATCTCGTCTACAAAGGTGGAAAGGTAAGGTTCTCTCTTTTGGGGGAAGAATTACATTGATTAAATCTATGTTGGTAAATTTACCGATTTATTACATGTCGTTATTTTCTATGCCAAAATCCATAGCAGAGATGATTAATAAATGTATAGTTAGATTTCTGTGAAATGTGAAGTCTGATAGAGGTATTCATTGGATTAAGTTGGATTTGGTTAGTGGTCCGAAATCTGATGGTGGTCTTGGTTTCTTTGATGTTAAAGTTAGAAATCGAGCTTTGTTGAATAAATGGATTTGGCGTTTTAGTGACGATATCGATAGCCTTTGGAAAAAGATTATTGTTGCTAAGTATAAGTATGATCCGGTTGAGATCTTACCTAAAGGTATTAGCGGCCGTTACTCGAATGGGCTGTGGCACGAGATAGTTCGCTTGTTGTTGTCGAATGATGATGAATTCCAAGTAGATGTTTGGTGTGTTATGGGGAATGGTTCAAGAATTGATTTTTGGTCGGATCATTGGACTGAAGTATGTTCTTTGAAAGTTACTTTTCCTATAATGTATGGGGTGACCATTAAAAAGCATGGCAAGATTAGTGATTTCGGGAGATGGGTGAACGGTTCATGGATATGGAGGATTCAGTTGAGACGTGGGATGTTCTCATGGGAAATTCCGATTTGGGAGCAATTTTACCAAGTTATTAATAGCGGTATTTCAGCTTACCCTGGGTCTGATAAATTAAAGTGGTTAGATGCTTCTCTAATGGTATATATAATTCTAGTGACTTTTGCATTAAGGTGGCATCGGTCGGTAAGATTAAAGATCCTATATGGAATAAAGTATGGAATAAATTTGTTCCTCCAAAAGTGGCTGCTTTTGTTTGGAAAGCGGTTTATAATAGGTTGTCGGTTGCGACTAAATTGATCAAGAGAGGGGTTACTGGTAGCGTCCAGCCCCTATGCCTTTTTTGTAAAGATCACACGGAAGATGTTATCCATGTGTTATGTCATTGTTGTTTGGCAAGTGTGGCAAAGGTGGTGTTTTGCATGGAAAGTTTGGATAACTTTTCCCTTGGACGTTAAACAACTATTAGAGATATGGTCGTCTCAGTACATTAGAAGGAAAGTTAGGTGCCTTTGGATTCTTGGCTTCTTCGGTTTTATTTGGCATATTTGGTTGAGTAGAAACAAGTCTACGTTCAATGGAGCATCATTCTTAGTCGATCAGACCTTTAACTTGGTTTTACTGCAGGTTGGGTTCTGGGCTAATAATTTATGGCCGTCTCTAGTGCCTCATGTGATAGATTTTGTGCGATGTCCATAATCCATTATCTTTGGCTGTGTTTAATGACATTTCCTGTTGCATTTTTATCTCGCGCCAGTTCTTTGCCATCCTTTGATTTGCTGCTCAAGATTTTATTTGTTTCTATACCTGGTTTACTGATGTAGGGGAATCCGAGACAGATGATGATGAGCTGTCAGATTGCACCTTGATGGCGTTGAGATACCATGAATTGACAGATTAGCGCAAAGGCGGGAATTGATTGTGACATGTTCCTCATTGGGGTCGTTTTGAGTATGTTTCAGTCTTTTGGCCATAACTTTGGCTACAGGTGTCAGAATCGCGCATAAGACCCCAATCCGGAAAGCTCTTTTCGACGCGCACGCTCTCCACATGAGCTATGCTCCATGTGACCTTTTTTCAACCTCAAATTCTGCCGTTTTCCCTCCGAATCACTAGATTTAGATTTTTTACTATTTATGGTAATATTTCGATTGTCAATTAGAAAGTCAATTTAATCCGATTTAGGCTGGATTTTTGGAGATTGCTTATTTTATTTCGAATTTCAATTTAGAGTGATTTTCGGGATTTTGCTATTTTTGGCAAAATTCGAATAAAGACGATTTTTGGCTATAACAGTCCGGCTTGTGGACTGATTTTGAGATTGTTTTGATTTTATAATATTTTATTAAACCCTATAGACTTTTTCTCTTGTTTTTTGGACGAATTCTCTTTTGTGAATCATCTGTTGGAGTTAGCCTGCAGGATAATCACTATTCTGTCTGGCGTCATTTACCGTATTACAAATCTTGCAACGCATGTTGTCTGACGTTACTCCAGTCTAGTGTATGCCAGTTTGCCTTGTTGTACACGAGATTATTGGCAGTTTTTACATTCTGGGAGTTATATTTTCTGGAAGGCTTGCTAGCAGCTGTTTGTTCTGTCTATTTGATATAACGTTAGCACTTGAATGCTGTATGTTTCAGGCCTTTTATTCCTTACCGGTTCAGATTCAAAAGATCGATGGTCCGCTTCTTAGTGCTTGGCCCGATTAAATTTGAGTTGTGTTTGCTGGCTCGTCCAGATGTTGTCCCTTCATTCGATCAGGTGTCTGCTATTGTTCCAGTCTTAGATCTCAACCTTTCCATTGGTTTGTATTCTCGTTTGTTATAAGCTGGTTTCGATATTTTCATAGGGTTGGGATGTGGATTGTGTATAGTAAGAAGCTCATGTGTTATTCATCTCTACCACCTTAAGGTTCACTCTTTTTCCTCCAATTAGGGTTAGAGAGGATTTTTAATGAGGTCCTTGAGGTGGTGTACTTTGTAACGACTTTTAATACAAAGTACCATTTTTCAAAAAAAAATCTTTCAAATATATTGAGGTGATCATTAGTATGAGCTAAGAGTTAATAGGTTTAAATTAGACTTAAAGGCATGAAATTTATAACTTAAATCATGTATAAAGCTTTAAAATTAAGCGGGAAATGAGAAAAAAATGGGCAATATTGAAGACGCTGCCTTGAAACTTGCCCTTCCCGACATGAAGATTTGGAACAGATCAAAAGATAATTGAGATTAATGATTGGAAATTTAGGTTTTTTATCGTAGAAATTAGAGGAATTCAAGGGATATAACTTGATTCTCTCATTGGAACACCATTTGTTTGATTTTGGAATCTGATTCTCTGCATAAACCAGCAAAAGGGGTACTCCATTCGGTTAATTGAACCGTGACCTTAAATAGAATCCTTTTCATGTACGTTTACTCTGTACAGGATTCTAAACTACCCTTTTCTTGTTCAAAAAGGTATCCTTTTGCATTATATTTAAGCATCAATTAGCTTGATTTAGTTTACCCGAAAGGCAAGAAAAAATAATAGGAAATATACATTTGAAACAGGTTTACCCTGATTCGGGTTTGGCAGGGGCATTCCCTTCGTATCATATCTGAAAATGTGTCGAACAAGAATACTCGACAAAATATATAGCAAAGATCAAGAATTTGGCTGATAACTTCACACATCCAACATGCACAGTGTTTCTAGGTACAAAAACTAGGAACAAAATCATCTTACAACAAACGGTATATGAACAAGCAACCGTAATATGAAGAATTATGTTGCATTCTGATGATAGTCTATCGGTAATCATCGTCCGGAAGATCGGAAGAACTTCTTGATGACGGCCATTGTGCTGAGAGGCTTCCTGTAAACAACAGGAACTTGGGTTGAAGCCAACTTGGGGTACGTGCAAGTGAGTGTTACCTTATTCTCCAACACATTTATCAAAACAAAATCTGTTCTGCTAAGAAGAAACAAAATTAGGAACTGGTCAATGCTGCGGAATCATGTATTAACACAGCTAAATCTCATCTCATTGTTGATCTTTGAAAATTTCATTGGATGAAGCATATATAATAAAATCTTGGCCAGAGTCATAAGATAATGATGAAAAACATATACACCATTCATTCTTGAGATTATGTCTGCAATTTTCTTTTGACACACTGCACATCTAATATCTGCTGAAATAACAACTTCGTGGACCTGCGGTTCCAGCAAAAAGAAACAAAATACACCAGAAACTGTTAAAGATCACTTCACTGAAAGGCAACCGGAAATGACACGTACAGAGAGAGAGAGAGAGAGAGAGAGAGAGAGTACAAACAAGAGGCATGGATAAGGATTCTACGGAGGCAAGGCTAGTTCCTGGAAGGAAGAAGCTCTTTGGGTTGTTGAATTTAGCTCTTCTGGCCTCTTTCGTGTGCGCCTGACTAAGAAGAACCATGGCTTCTTTACCTGTTAAAGGACTTCATACAGAAGAAAAAAGGGTTCGATCTCAAGCTGAAAGCACTGCACCACTTGCCTCCTGTTGAAACTGAGCTATTCGTAGAACAATACCACTTTTGAGGATGAAGAAAGAGCATCTTAAGCTGGTAAACAGGGAATCGAGAGGAAAAGGAAAGGTCTTTTTCATTTTTAGTTGAAAGATGCCCTCAAATCACAGAGAGTGGTGTCCCCACATCTTACCTTTTTCATTTCTATTTATTCACTGAAAAATCGCCATCTGTAATAATTATGTTTTAACAAAGTTGCTTATGGGACAAACTCAAATCCATATCCAACTTTTTAGTTCATTTAATCCATCTTGTCATAGTTAAATTAGGTACGACCCTCTCTAAAGAAACCTCTAAGGAGGTAGGATTCTGAATAAGACAAGATACCAAAATTTAGGGTGATGTTCGCCCAAAATGCCCAATCTCCTTTCTCCTACTTTTGTTCATTTAAATGAATATTTTATTAAATAAATATTAGATTCAAATTTACCAACAAAAGCGTATGAAATCAGAAATTTATCGAACACCTTGATAGTGTGACAATGACAAACCAAGTCGTTTACCACTGGACCTACCATGGTTATGCCAACTATGTCGTTCCGAAGAAGAGGGAACCATGGCCAATATCCTATAATTGAACCAAACAAAAAGTGGTATGAACAGCTCACCGTTGGATAGTGGAAGGAAGAAAATAATGGAAAACTTTTATTACCAGAAACAAATAAACAGAATACAATCGAAGCAGAAATCTTCCTGCAAACATCCTAAATTAAGTGAGGCTTGCTAAGTTAAGAGACTCTAGCAGGTTATTATATTGCCATCCTACACTGGACCTGAATTTTGCAGGACTCTTTAAGCTTAGAGCCCACCCATGGGTTAAAAGTTACATACAAGAAAACCAAGGAGATGGATGCCATGGACTTCTCAAAATGAAAACTTCAAACAAAACAGAAAGCAGCAAACTCCACTACAATGACAACAGTCAATCACCTAGTCATAACCAAGTTCGTTAGAGGCGGCACTACTGAAGAACTGAATAAGGGAACACCTATGTACTTGCAGTTATCATTATCGACTTTCAAGGATGCGGGGATCAAAAAATGTTCCGAAGAAACTGACCGCACAGTTCTTTTGTGGAGATTCCGACTGCAATTCAGTTTCCGTACATGGGTCGAAGTCGCTCGTTTTCTCTTCCTAGATGACTTCCATTTCAACTGGGAAAGCCAATCATCCTTTGAAAGATCTGTAACAATACTCTCATCTTTTGCACCATCATTTCCCGGTTCACCAGGAGAGTCGTTACAATCAGTCGCATCCTTAACAATAATTCCACCATCACAACAAATGGTGTTTTTGTCAAAATTGGAATCATTGGAGTTGCTTGCATTTTGCTTTCCTGCCCGGAGCACGATACCCACAAGATCACACCTTTCCTTCATATTTATCCACCGATTTCCTGCCCATTCCTGAGATTGTCTAATATCACCAATGTCAAAGACTGATTCCCGCTTCTCTCCTGCAAATAATATACGTCAGAATTGGAAATAAAAAAAATCAAAAACCTATTTCACCATTCATGACCATGAAAAAACAAACATTTACATTTAGAATTAAAGCATTAACAAACCTGGGAAATGAACACAAAATTTATCTTCTGAATCCTTGTGAATAACAAGGCCTTCCCACCACCCATCATGCCACCAGACATCAACAACAGAACCAACAACAATACATGAAACACTGTCCTTAGTATACTGAGGAGGAGGTCGAATAGTTGTCCGACCAGAAATACGAACACCCAATTCATCAGGACTAGCAACCTTAGATGCCAAAATCCATTCCTATAACGTTAAAACATTAATGATCATTAAACAATTACAAAAGAAAAGACTATGAATATGAGTTACATTATTAGCGCACACTTTCAATTCCACAAATTAAAAATAGAGCACAAAATACCTCTAATTTGTTAGCTTCATCATCTACATCCTGAATGTCTTGGTATTGCACCTTCACCTTGTTTTTGTGCTTCTTGATTATCTGAGCTCTAAACCAACACCCTTTCAAGCCACTATCTTGAGCTAACACTTCTACCTGCGAACCTACCATTAAATGCAGGGAGGAATATTGCTTAGCCTCATCAGCCTGGACACTGAAAGACGTGTTTCCCTTTTTACTGTTCTGAACATCTTGCAGATCTGCACGGCATACTTCAATTGACTCTCTATTGCCGCTAAAATGTAAGTGCAAAACATCATCATCTTTTGATTGGCGATATCTCTTTCTGGGCCTGATCCCAACACTATCATCAACATCCCAACCTGTCTTCTGTTCATCAGCAAAGTGCTGACGAGATGCACAATCATTCAAAGGAGAAAGACTATACATATTTCTAAGTATTTCTTGTTTCCAATACCCCTTCAGTTGAGACACGTCAAAAGGCTTAAAATCATCATTTTCAAATTGCTTACAGCATACAAATGGCTCCAGCAGGGTATGCTTCGCCTCATTCAAAAATTTCTTAAAATGCACAGGACCAAGGACTGTAGCCAATCCATCAATGCATTCAATACTGAGATCTTGAAGACAAGGAGAAAAGAAAATTTCTCTGCTATTATAATTTTGACCAAAGTCAATATCAACCTCGTCAATTTTGTGAAACCATCGAACAACAACCATCTTGTGCCTCTAGAGTCTCATATAAATCTTCCAAATAGGCAACAAGTCGTTTATCCTCCTCAGCTAAGACATAAACAAAGTTGTGAACCTGAGAAGATTTGGAGGAATGGGACACAAAGGGCCAAAAATGAGCTAGATGATAAAGTTGTAAACTGCAAAAAAAACCATAAACCACAATGCACAAAAGGGAGGGCTGATAAAGACAATTACTCACCGAAATTATTACGCCGTTCTTACAGAAAGACTGATAGTGTTTCTTTTTTCTCTTGCATGTCCATGAAGAACCTAACCATAAAACTTCTTTAGAGTATTGGACGAGCTTCTTTGATTGAAGATCCTATAGGAAGAAAATTTCAGAATATTGATAAATGAAAAATTAGAAAACAAAAAGATGCCCAAGTACTCAAAATACAATCCATACCTTGGCGGCACCAAATTCCATACTTTTCTCATTTTTTCCACTCCAAATGCCATCAACCGAACAGTACGACAAACGAGAGGGGGAACCTGTAAATTTTAAACACCAATTAGGAAAAGTTACACAAATATTCCATTCCGTTAAGATGACTCAAATAAGAAAAGTGACTCAGGGGAAAAGCAATAACAGACATGATTACAATAAAACGTGTGTACTGGAGAAAGGGTAAAAAGAAAATCAGATGCACTCAACAATGAGAGCTCTTATATAATTTTTCATATCCAATATTAATTAGCAGCCGATTTCTGTGGATATGAAACTTGTTTGTAGAAATAAAAAATGTTTGGTCATGAAAGATGTTGACCTAGATATTTGAGGGCGTAAAAACCGTGATGCTCTCAATCGACTCTTAAAAATTGAATTAACAATCCTGCGGACCAGATTCTAGACAATTAATATTTACAATACTGAGAGGATCCAAAAGAAACCCACGCCAATCAAAAAAATCAAAACCTTAGCCAAAATAAGGAGCTCAAAAGAAAAGCCCACATTACTTTTTTTTTTTGCAAAAGAAAACGGGTTATGTTTAAAATCACTCTGCATAAAGGGGTAATTATAAAAGAGAAAATTACAATATATGTATATATATATATATATATATATATATATATATATATATATATATAGAGAGAGAGAGAGAGAGAGAGAGAGAGAGAATAAAACTAGTTCAAACAAATCCCAGGCCGGCAAATTCATTGCATCAGGCAAAAAAAATCCAGCCAAACTTCGGATTAAAAAATTGAACAAAAAAATATTGTTTTGGGAAAGGCCAAAAAAGGCTGGATTATCAGCCCGTACTGAAAATTAGATACAATTCAATTAATTAAGAGTATAGTGAAAAGCTGATATTTTAGGAAGGGAAAAATAACTAATAAACTCAAATCAGATCTTATCAATATTAAACCTAAACGCCAAGATCTAGCATAAGCCCAAAGAAAATTTGAGCACAATGCACTCCCCTAAAAAAACACAATCTCCAAAAACTACCAAAATCTAATATACGAACAGAGAGAATTTTCGAAGCAATAATTACCAGAACGACGGAATTAAGCCAATAGACAACCTCCCGGCGAGACTTAAGCTTGTAGAAGGAAGTCGAAGAGAAGAAAAGGGAGCGGTTCTGAATAGCGAAATGATAAGACATGTGCCTCAAGCTCTTCTCTCTCCCTATGACAGCCAGATCTGAAACGCCATCTCTTCTCTTCAAATAATAATGAACCTCCCTCCTTCCTTTATCGCTTAAAACATTCACCTCCTCCCAGCTCACATACGCCGTCGTAGTCGATGACGGAAAATACGTTGAGGCCACTGCGAATCCGTCCATCGGAAGCACCGGGAAAGAAAGAAAAAAAGGACGTTTCCAAGGGAAATATGGGAATTTTAGAAAAGGGTTTCAAAATTCGAGGGAGAGAAAATGGTGAGCGTGGGAGGGAATTTGAAGATTTATATTAGGTAGGGTTTTTTTGGAGATTGAGAATCGACGGTCAAGATTGCGTGTATGAGGATGACAACGAGGAAATCAATAAGAAATTTTCTAATTACTAAAATACCCTTGTTCAGATTTTGGATTTACGGGGATTTTTTATTTCTTTTTCACTTAATACTGGAATTCACCTAGAAACTATATCACTTTTTAATTTATTTTTTTATAAATACTTTTTTATTTTAATATTTATTATCGGATTTGATTCTTAAATTATAATTTCTTTCTAATTTAATGAAAATTAAGATAACCTTTAAAATACATAATAATGTCTATTAATAAAGTTAATTGGATTACACATTCTCAAATTATGATTCTATTTCTAAATTAATGTTTAAATCTTGAATATTTCAAATTTATTCTCAAATTATGAATCTCATTATAAAATAGTCCTTAAACTTTTGAATAATTGAATTTCATCCCCAAACTATGGTATTCATTTTAAATTGATACCCATATTGTTTAGCATTCCAATTTCTTCTTAAACTATTGATATACACTAATCACATCTCATGTTAATCAAATTGTTAGGTCAAGCTATATTGTTATATTTTTGAGAAAAAAATGTTAAACTATGGTTAAAATTAATTTTAAATTTGGATGAAATTGGTGATGAAATTAGAAGATTCAAAAGTTTAAGGATCAATTTAGAATGAGAATCGTGATTTGTGAATGAAATTGAAATATTCAAAAGTTTGAGTATTAATTTAAAATGAAAATCATAATTTAGGAATAAGATTATAACACTTAAAGATTTGATAATCAATATAAAATGAAACTCACAACTTCATGACCTGTAATGCAATTAACTCTTACTAATAAAAATGTGATATTAGAAGCAATCTAATGGGAGGTATAGGTCATGGTTCATGGACCTTGATTTAAATGGTTTAATTGTTGTTATAGTCCTTATATGCAAACAGAAATCTATTTAAACAAAAAAAAAATCATACTTTCTATCTTTCAAAAAATTTAATATTTTAAGGAAATTTTTTATTTTATTTTGATATTTGATTCTTTTAAAATAAAATTTTGAGTCACTTTATATGACATGTAATAAATGATATTATCACCTATAAATAAAAGTACATAATTGATATGCTTTTTTCAATTAAAAGTAAATAAGTGACAAAATAATACATAAATCAACTTACCTCAAAGATATTTTGTTATTATTTTTAGAGATTATAAGTTTAAACACCAATAATTATAAAAGTAATTAAATATTTATTATCAAATAATTAAAATATTTAAAATATATATTACTTTGTAATAGATTTAATTTAATTAAATATTAACCCGAGGAATATATATAATTTGTGAATTTTTTTTATTCCTTTACATGTATCCATCACATGTGGAATTAAGGGTGAAGAAGAGGACAAAAAACAAGTTGAGGGAAAGAAGAAAAGTGGAGCCCGTAACTGGCGCTCTATTAAAGGTATAATCGGACTTGCCAGTTGTCAGATTTGACTTACTTTCTATTTTCGAATTTTGTTTATTATATGAGAATAAGGAAATTATAACGTGAATCAGTCTTAATATACGGTTAAAAAATATGTTATTGATTTTGTTATTATTTTTTAATAAAATCGGTAAAAAATTATCTAAAAAATTATTATTTTTACTAATTTTATTATTATTGAGCATTTTACTGATTTTGGTAATACATCCGATAAAGCGCTATATAAAACATTATTTTTTATCAATTTTTCTACCGCATTTACTAATATCAGTAGCTAACAATAATAATAAAAACGGTAGAAATAATAATATTTTAGATAAAAAAAATTCGGTTTTATTAAAAAATAATAATAAAATTGATAAAACCTATTTTTAACTGTATATTAAGACTGTCACCGGAGAAAATATATATTTCAAAGTTTTCGGCTTTAGATTATCCTTAGATTCAAAATTCTATACCATTTTTAGTTCAAAAAATAATCACATACCATCAATAATGGATTACATACAGGTGTACATAGATTGGGTTAAATCTAATGTTTGTTTCATTATAATTCATTAAAATATTATTTTTATGTATTAATTTTAAAAATCTATTATATCTTTTATTATTAAAAAAATATTATATTTTTTATTGTCACTTAATAAAGATTTTTAAAAAATATATTCGATCTAATTTTTAAGATAAAAATATCTTATCTTATATATATGATAATATATATACATAGATTAGTAATATTACAATTATCTTTAAATGCGAATTAAATAAAAATAAGGTCAAATGTTGTAAGAGATTTTCAATCCTAAATCTAAATATGACCCGATCTTATCATCCATAAAATATGGCGTAACTTGATCTGAATCTAATTTTTTTTCCAAAAAAATAGCTCTATAAAATCAAATCTAGTAAGAATCTTTCCGATTCGAAATTCGAACTAATTACACATATTATTAATAAAACATACACACTCCATTCTAATAATAGTTACTATAACTTTGTTATCCGAAAATTACATTAAAGATTGAGTCATCAAATCTAATTTGTATAAATTTAAATTATTTAATAGCACTAAAATGAAATCAGTAATGTTCCAAAACACTTTCATCATTTTCAATCTTAATATTTAAATGGGTTGACCCGGTGTATGTACAAAATTTAAAATCAATGTCGTCCCCATACCCACTATATTAAAACTTTCACCGTCCCACTATCCACATGCTCTCAAAACCAACCTAATCTTCATTGTATCCGTGTTACAACAACCCCCAGAAATTATATTTATGAATATAAATTAAATAAATATAAACTGTTTTTTATTAAAAAATATATTAAATATTTGTGTTATAGACTATATCCACACATGTAACGTTTTTTCAACTATCATGATTAAAATAATAATAATAGATTATAATGATTTTTAACTAATAAATTAAAGGCATAATGCAAATAAATATGTCAGTATATGTAAATTTGTCCTTATTGTTTTTTAGAATATTTGAACCCACAACGTTTAATTCTGATTCAAAAGTTCCTCGTTCGATAGAAATCGTTAGTCAACTGACGGTCAACGACTCCAGCTGACTAAGTAAGCACAAGTGAACACAAATAATGACGTAGCATATCCACGTCACTAATATATAATGAAGTTGAATTGACATATCAAACTTTTTAAAAAAAAATAATTTCAATAAGAATTTTATACCAATAAAAGATCGATACGTGTCATTTTCCTATCCACTCGATAAAAAAAATTCCTCTTTCCTGAACAGACAGAAAATTGTGAGATAACATGGAAACAATTTATGCCTCTTTTCATTTCAAGAATATCTACTCAATAAAATATGCATACATCTGTTCTAAGTCGAAAAGGCTTGGGGGTCGTATTGAACACTTTTATCTATTATTTTTATGATACGTTTTCTTATATTTTTAGCATATTAGTAATCTTTTGGTTGTTATTATCGTTTATCTTTTTTCAGGGTTGAAATTGACAATGTCACGACTGATCAAAATGACAATTATTTATTATCTGGTTGTTCTTTCCTGCTTTGGACTCTCTTATTGAATTTTGATATGTGGTTTACGTTTGTGGATAGTTTTCTCACGTCGCTTCATTTTGATTTGCGGTTTGTCAGTCATCTTTCAATAGTTTGATCTTATTTTAGGGTTCGTTTGCTAATATAGTCAGATTTATTCGTATATATCTTTTGTCTGAGTTTTTAACATTTTATTTGTATGATCCTTTATGATCTCAAGTAATTAGTTTATTTTATTAATGGGTTTAGGAAAATGTCCAATTATATGTTGTACAAATTCAATGGGTGAATAATGAGGAACATAACTACGAAAAAAGCATTATCTTTGTAATAAGATTTTATTTATTTTTATGACACGTTTTTTTATATTTTTAGCACATTAGCAATCTTTTGGTTGTTATTATCGTTTATCTTTTTTCAGGGTTGAAATTGACATTGTCACGACTGATCAAAATGACACTTATTTATTATCTGGTTGATCTTTCCTTCTTTGGACTCTCTTATTGAATTTTGATATGTGGTTTACGTTTGTGGATAGTTTTCTCACGTCGCTTCATTTTGATTTGCGGTTTGTCAGTCGTCTTTCAATAGTTTGATCTTATTTTAGGGTTCGTTTGCTAATATAGTCAGATCTATTCGTATATATCTTTTGTCTGAATTTTTAACATTTTCTTTGTATGGTCCTTTATGATCTCAAGTGATTAGTTTATTTTATTAATGGGTTCAGGAAAATGTCCAATTATATGTTTAGTTTATGATTATTATTGCAAACCTTCGTTGTAATTCTAAATATTTTTTATTTCAATAAAACTAACAACTTTCTATATATATATATAACTTCAACAAAAATATAAAAAATTTAAAAAAGTATTATTTTATATAATATTTAAATAACAAATAAAACAATATCTCAATACATCATATATATATATATATATATATATATTATTGAAAGACTTTCAACTAGGAATGCTTAATGAATTGAGCAACTCATGAGTTGTTTGAACTCGACTTGATAAATGATCGACTTGTGTTGACTTGACTCGAATTCGAACTTAACTCAAGACCTTAATGAATTGAGTCGAATAAGGTCCAACTCGACTCAATAAGTTCACGAGCAATTCGTTAATATATTTATAATTTTTTTACTAATTACCTTAAATACTATTAAAAATCTAAATAATAAAATTTAATTTACTAATAGATAATAAAAAATATATTAAATTATTAATTAATAAATCTTACTAATCTATTAATTTCCTAATAAATAAAAAAATATTAAATTATTAATTATTAATTTACTACATCCAAAAAAAAAGTTTTAATTATCTTACTAAAAAATATTATATGCTTAATGAGTAACGAGACAAGTAAAATTTAACGAGTTTTAATGGATAATGAATTGAGTCAAACAATATTTTTTTCTAACGAACACGAGTTAAACACTGTTTAACTAACGATCAACTCATTTAATAAGTACAATTATTTTCAATCTTTTGAAAATAAAAATTAATCTTTCCATAAATAAAATATTTTAATTTGATAATAAAAATTCATCTCTCTATAAATGAAATATTTTTAATTCAAAAAATAAAGAGAAATAAGATAGGTTGTGCAACTGTTATTAATAATATAACAAGTCCGGCTTTTACATTGAATGAGAAAACGGTACCAGCGGCAGCATCCACTATTGATATGGGAAAGTCCGTAACGTTTATCGTATCCTTTTTGACAATAGTGAGAGAATAAAAAAAAGGTTAAATTAGGGGACAAGTCCCATCACGGCCGCCCCTCCTCAAGCAAAAGAAAGAAAAGCAAATACAATACAAGTAGACACAAACCCCTACGGTGGAACTCTTGTGACGAGGCAAACCAGTAGGTCGCCACGTTGCTACGACAACGTCATGATTCGCCGCCTCAATAACAAACTAATATAATGCTGTGAATTAATTATATATAATTAGCGCAAAGGAGATGAATCCAAGTCATCGACAGATTGGCCGGTCCGATTCAAAATTATTTTATTTAAATCATTTATTAATACTAAACTTTATCAAGCCTGCAATTTAATTAAACAAAAAGATTAGTATTATTTTTATCTGAAATTATTTTTTCCCGCACCTACATATTAAATTTCCCAGTTAAAGAATTCACCAGTCCAAGCTGATCTTTCTGGAAATATAAAGCTTATCGATGTAATCTATGACTTGGCCTGAAGCTCTGATATACCTTTTCATCTTATTCTTCGCTGAATGATCTGCCAATCACAACGTCGTACGGTGCAATAAGTATGTCTGAGATTTCACATTAAGAAAAAACCATGGATTCAGATTTCATCAGTACCTGTTTCGTTGAGTTTCTGCAAAAGTTGTTCCCTTGTGGGAAGGGTATGCATTCCGGCAGAAACAGCCGTCCTTACAGCCCACGTGTGATACGGTGCACATACTTGAGCATAAGCCGTTGAAGCTGCATTTCTCAATGAATAATCCCTGGAATCATAGACACAAAATGTAAATACAAGAAGAAAGTGCAATTAAAAGGCAGGGGTAGGGGGGATATAGCATACTTGGATGACAGGAATTCTTCAAACAAGGCTCGGATGAGGTCAAGACCCTGTCTAACTCGACGCAGATCACGCGAATGGCTTCTTTGTTTCTTCACCGTCCCATTAGCAACGTCTACATCGAGTATATTTTCTATAGTGCCGAATCTCCTCGATGCTTCAGCAAGATTACCTACCTGGATCACAAGCATTAATCAATGGATGTCGAAGTGCATAAATCAACTGAATTAAACCTGGGTTTATCGGTAAATATCAATGGGATCTAAAAGGGAAGTGAACCTTGGCCACATACTCCATCTCGGCGAATCTGAAGGCGAGGCCGAGAGAATTAAAAAGAACAGAAACTAGAGAACACGCATGACACAACTCGTCCAACCGGAACCCTTCCTCCTTGGCTCGACACTCCAACGACTGCGATAAATCATCAAACGCAAGTGCTATCGTAGACAATGGAGTTCTCGTCGCCATTATGGGTTTATTATGTGAGTTTGGTAAAATCATCAATATCACTTGTCTGCTATATAGAATCTTTTTATGGGGTGGTGGTGGTTGTGATAGAAATGCCGTGTTTATCTGGAAATCGACAAAGACTTTGAATTTTCATCGAGACGAAAAGGCAGGGAAGAACGATGAAAGTGGTTAATCGGATAAATGTTTACGTGTTTGAGTAGGTTCGTATTGTTTCTGTTGTGAAACGAGGTGTTTGGAAAACGTCAAAACCGACGCACTACCGACACGATTGAAGATCTCTTTGGAAGGAATAATCAGACACCTTTTTTATTTTTTATTACCAGCATATATGAAGTGTCTAAATATAGTTTTGAGTCGGATTTAATTTTCAATCTGAGTTGAACTTCACCTACCATGTAAAAAAAAAAAAATTAATAAAATATATTTTTTTAATTTAGTTTGATTTTGAATTACAACTAAATCGATATTTGATTAGCTCATTTCGGAAGGTATTCGAAGGATTGTCACATGCATGGCATTTAAGGGCAAGTAAAGTTATTATTGAGATCAACAGCAGCGATACATTTCATTTGATGTCTCGGATTACACGGGGTGACAATGCCTTCTATCCTTCAGTATATACGTGAATTGCTGAATAAAAACTGGTTAATATCATTCTCACAGGTTCAGCCACGATCTTCCATGAAGATAGTTTTGGCCAAGTCCCTGATTTTCTTCTTTTAGTTTAAGCTCTTTGTTCAACAAAAATAAAAAGAAAAACACTTGGGAGTGTGTTTCAATGAGAAATTTTGAAAGGCATTTTTATCAAAAATTTCAAAAACAAAATAAATTTCATTCAACAAAATGATAAATTATTATAAAAAAAACTCATGGAATTCAAATAACCTAAATCTAAACAAACAATAAACAAAAGTCTACATGCAAATCGGTTCTCAAATATACACGAATAGAGAGGCACTTTATAATAATGGTCCTTAAAGAAAAGAACATCTTAAGACATATATATCCCTTGTGTCTGCACCAAACACTTCACATCACTTGATTAAGAAACTTAAAACAAAGTCGGAAGGGTCGGGAGGGACATGAATACCAAAAGCAAAGACAAAGAAAATGGTACTTCCCCTAGCCATTATCTTTTTTCCCCCAATTAATCCTCAAAATCGTTCATATGATCTAAAAGGTAGTTGGCTGCTAGTTCCTCGTTCTTGTTGCAGGCAAAGAAGACTTGTAGCACAGTTGCTCGATCAAACCCCATTGCTTCCAGCTGTAAAAAACCACATCATTCATCATTGCCAACAAAACAAGTGGCTAATTACGATCCAACTCGGCTTTTTACACAAAACACCTTACCCGTTCTATGGCTTCACGTTCCTCCGGAGTGACTTGTACAGCTTGTGGCATTGCGTCAGCCAATTGCCCCAATATGTTCCTATAATATGGAAGACGGCAAATAAGTATTCAATATATAAATGCACAACTAGGTTCAAGAATAGGGAAACAAAGTGATACGACTCACCCCTCTCCACCTTCTGCAGGTTCATTGATCAAGCGAAGAAAATCAGCCTGATGCTCTTGAATAAGTCTCATTAGATGAGGGTTTTGCTTTCCCAACTCTTGAAGCATAGGCTGCCAAAAACCCAATAATCAAAACCATTCAGAAAAGGTTATGGAGACAAAGGAAAATGAAAGTATATACGACCATCATAAAAAACAAATGAGAGAATAACCTGCAATATCTGGGGGTTGGCCTGCACCATTGCTCGTAAAGCTTGGAACTGCAAGAGAGAAAGGCCAAATGAGTACATCCGAGGTAGGAGTCTACATGAGGAGAGAAAGAGAAAGAGAGAGAGACCTGTTGACTGTTGCGTAAGAAATCAAGAGTGCCTGCCTCTGCACCACCACCTGTGCCCATGTTGGGAAGGCCCTGTATCAAGAAAGGACCACCAATCAAGTTCATGGTTTTCTCGTCATCTAAATTAACAAATATTTATTGAATTTCAACTATACTTGTGGAAAGAGGTCTAAAGGATTTGCATTGGGTCCGCTCGTGGGAACAGCTGCTGCTTGAGCAGGCTGTTGAGGTTCTGCTTGAGGATTATTTGTTTGCCCAACTACAGGGCCACGGGCCACGGGTGGAGCTTCAGCTTGCTCTGGGATACCCTATAATTAGCAATGATTGTAGAATTAAATGAGCAGCAGCAGCAGCTAAAATGTAGGAAATAAAATGATTCTCTCCAACAAAAAAGAGATGGTTTCTAGGTCATGCAAATAAATAAAAATTAAATTTACAAGTTCACAAACGAAAATAACACCGACACACCGTAGGAGAGGACAAGAAATGCTAAATAGCCCGGGATGAAATGGCATTAAATGGGATATCATAATTCCAACACAGCATATCTTTTGCTCCAAAAACGCACACTTATCCCCTAGTAAAAAATGACTACAAAATGGAAGTGCATTTCAGGCATATTTTTACCTAAATCATATACCAATTAAAGAAAACAAAGTTGCGCATACAATTACATCAAACTATAAATGATAAAACGGTGTGATCATCATTCCCAAAAAACCTATTGATATGACCTCAGTCTATCAGGAATTACCACATTTAAACTAAGAAGAAAAATAAAACAATCGCAGTATCAACAAGTCAATAACCATATGTAAAGTTGACAACGGGATGCACTCAAGAGAGCACTCACTTCACCATCTTCAAGTAAGATACAAGGAATACTTACAGAATATAAATATTCAACAGCTCTCTCTGGGTTATTATAAGCTGCTCGAAGAGCACGAACAACAGTATCCCTATCCCAGGTTCCCCCACCAATGTCAAGAATTTGTTGGATTGCTCCTTCCAAGTTGTTTCCTGCTACAAGATTAGATGCTGCTTGACCATAAACATCAGATTCTGACCTGTTCCCAAAGATACAGAAGATATCACAAAAATGCAAGGCAAAAAAGAGGAAAACCAGGAGCTTCCCTATTGGAAAGAACTTCAAGACGAATTAAAGAAAAAGCATGCCTTACACCCTTTAAAAAAGGATAAATGGAATTAGAATCTGATAAAGGTTACTCACGCAGTGGTATTTGATGCAACAGGTGCAGCCCTGAAAAACACATAAGCATATTAATCAGTTATAGAGCAGTTCATCTCAACAAAAGGAGTAGGACTTACCAGGAGCTTCCCTATTGGAAAGAACTTCAAGACGAATTAAAGAAAAAGCATGCCTTACACCCTTTAAAACAGGATAAATGGAATTACAATCTGAGAAAGGTTACTCACGCAGTGGTATTTGATGCAACAGCTGCAGATTCAGAGACAGGTGCAGCCCTGAAAAACACATAAGCGTATTAATCAGTTACAGAGCAGTTCATCTCAACAAGAGTAAGGAGTAGGACTTACACAGCTGAAGTTGCAACAGGTGTAGAAGTAACTGATGCTGGTGCTGGTACCGGTGCTGGAACCGGTGCTGGAACCGGCGCTGGAGCCGGCGCTGGTGCCAGTGCACTTGCCTGGGGAGCCTGCAAAGATGAAATTTAGCCTACGACGAGAAAACAACAATAATTCTTTTATCGGATACCACTACTCAATAACATTTGTATAATGTGCACAGTTTCGAAAAGTAATTAACCTAAATATTATATAGTGCATTGCGGGAAGAAAACTAATATTTACAATCATACTCAAAAGGAAATTGAAGGCCAAAATCCATATAATAATTTTGTGAGTTGAAAGCTAACGTTGTGCACGTTCATACATAATTATTATTGTTCTTGTCGTCGTTGGCAAGCACATTGAAAACATTCTTGATGGATTAAATAAATCAAAAAGAAAATTTGCTTCTGTTCTTGATAGATTAAAGAGATAATAGGATAGTGGCCATTAGCTTTCAGGTTGACTTGAATAAGAGGTTGTTTAACTAATAAATGTTTAAAGGAAAGATCAAGTTGGCAATTAAACCAACTCAGATTCCAAAATTCATATAATGATTTTGCGTGAGTTAATAGCCAAGTTTGTCCACATTCCAACATCATCATCATATTTAATATAAGATTATTATTTGGTAAGTAAATTCACATAATTTCGAGGATCTAAATAAAAAAAATGCTACTATTCTTGATAGGTTCAATGATGAGAGGATTGGATAGTGGTCACTAGCTTTCTTGCTGACTTGCCATTGGAAGGGAACGAAAGAGAACAATTGAAATAACTGAGAAAATTGAGTATGAGATTGTGTGACCAATAAATGTTTAAAAGAAAAAGACCAAGTCAGTAAACAAACCAACTCAGTCACCAACATTATATACATATCACTCAACAGTTAAACTAAGATAGCAGTTGGGCACAAAACAACACAAATTTTTTGCTCATCAGTCATCATAGCATTTAAGGGAAAATAGTTTTTCCACTAGGAGAAAACAGAATCCTGATTCATGTTATACCAAATTCAAATGTCTTCTCAGAAATATAGTTGAAAAGGCACATTGACAATAATTGCTCGCAATCAATTATGCATGCAAGTAATATTCAGAAAAGGAGTGGAAAACACAGAAAAAGACACGACAAAACTAAAGCTTACTTTAGTGGTAGAAGCTGTTGAAGCAGTTGCACCCCCACCAGATGAACTCTTACTCTAGCATTGGTTTAAGCCAAAAATAGTCATGATTAGTACCAAATGAAACATAGTGAAAAATAAATAAGAATACAAGTAGATTAAACGACGAGATAACACCAAGAATTCATACTGTGGGTTCAGCAAAAAAAAACATTGTAAGAAGCAACTAAAGCAAGGCAACAACCAGTTCTCAATGAACATGATGATAACACAATCTGTCATAAGATACCTTCTGAATTCAAAAGCCTCAATAAAAAAATCAAGACAGATTATGCATTTAACAGGACAAAGGAAGCATACTTTGGTCAGCAAGGTTTAAAGGGTTGCTTAAAATTTACAAACACAAGAAAGAGAGAGAGGGAGGGAGTGGGCGAGAGAACTTAAGGATTCATATATTGTAATTTGTAATCAATCTCACCTTAGTCAACATGATAACAATAAAGCTATTTTCGGCAACGCTGTTCTCAGCCAATGTTGTGTCATCTTTAAGAACCTTCCCCTTGTGGATAAGCATTTGTTGTGAAGCAGGATAAATATCTGATCCTTGAACTGTTTCTATGTTCTTCTTTACATCAGCTACCTGGAAGAAAATTTACAAGTAATAACAGAATCATAATACACCACAATGAGGAATTAAAAGCAGCTGCAACATACAGTTTATCCAGAAGGCATCAATCCCCCTGATATATATTAAAATAAGAGATATAGTGGAAGGGGGAAGCATAAGGAAAAGGAGGAAATTAATTAAAATAAAATTATTATATTAAATAAGTATAATATCCACATCCTTCAAACAACACAACCCTTGATCAGCAGTAACCACAGAATGAAGAATTTCATTCTCACTGTGTCTCACAATGGTAATCTATTTATAGAATATTTTTCAAAAACAAACTCTATACCTTCAATCTGGTGCTATACTCACATTGATTGAAGAAAGTTCAGTCCCAAATGAGAGAATATTTTTTTGATAAAATAATATATTAGTATATTTTAATGTTCAAAGCTTGTATGTTCTCTGGTCAAACCTTAGGTCTGGTACAGAGAAAATAACATTCACATAGCAATATAGACAGTCAATATATTTGTATAAAAGGGCACAGCTTAATCAAATAGAGCAATTCCTTTTTCTCACTAAACATATTAACTCCCATCCTGCTTGCGACCCAGAACTTAATAAGTTATAGGCAATTGTTAATCTCCCCGAGAAGAGTTGACACCGCAATTAACTATACGAGTTATCAGCCACTTAACCCTAATTAAAGTAACAATCCCACTCAACACGGTCGACGTAATCAATACTAAAAAATTGAACAAATCATTCAAGAATGAAGATCCCAAAATTCAATTTCATGGACGCTAAAACAAACAATTACACAAAAATAAAAATAAATATAAGCGGATTCTAATCGTACAACCCTAATTGATTCAAAAAAGGGGGAAGCGTAAGTTAGAAAAGGAAGAAGAAACAAACCGAATCTTCTGGTTTGACTTCAATATCGAAATGAGTGCCTTTGAGAGTCTTGACGAAAATCTTCATCTTCTTCGAATTGGATCTCTCTCGCACACTGTTTCTTTTCCCCCTTTTTCTTAATAAAAAATCCGCCGATCTTATTTATATATGTAGATAGAATTAGAACCGTTGGCAAGTAAGGAATATCTAGTAGAGCACTCCAAATATGAAATCAGTATGAGCAAATGGATAATCATCTGACACGTGGGTAAAAGTGAATCGACGGTGAATAGTAATTTAACCCACTATTTATTCTATTAGTTATATATTTATTTAGAGACTGTTTGTTTACTTCAGAATGATTAAGCGCGGAATGATTCAGAGATTCTGTATGAATTAGCTCTAAACGTGACATATTATTTGATAATGGCTCTGAATTATTCAGAATGTATTTCTGTATTGAATCATTCAGCATTATTTTGCTAAATCAGTCAGCACTGAATCATTCAGAGGTGCGGAACAAACCCGCTGAATGTTGAACGGTTCAGCATTCAACGCTGAATAGTTTCATTAAGAGGCAAACAAACAGTTCCTTAGTCTTACATTATAAATAATTATCAAAAGTACATCATTTTTTATCTACATATCTAAAGTATTTTTTGATTAAAATAAGAAATTAAATATTCAATTTTTTCATCTAAGTTTTAAAAAAATTGACACATAATATTAATTAAAGAATACAAGTATTTAGATAAAAAGAATAAATACTTTAAGTATCTATTTCAATAAAAATAATTTATATATTTATTTTGACTAAAGATGGTATATTTTATATATTTATTTATGACATAAGTCTTATTTTTACGAATATAATGATATACAGATTATGTATTCTTCTTATTTTAGTGTACTTATGTCGTACCATCCCTTTGCTAGTTTAAAAGAAATTTCCAAGGAGTTTGGTACTACGAAGGAGTAGTTTGGTGTTAGCCCTAACCAAAGTCACAAACCGAGTAAATGTTCGGTACCGGGTAGATGGTTGAGTTGTATATGTTTATACCATTGAGACATTGCGTCTTCATCGTAAAAAATAATACAATATATGAAAATAAAGTATAATTCATGATAAAAAAATATAAAGAACAGTTAAAATAAACTAAAATAGGAGGTCTAGTTAAGTATTTATTCATATATATATATTTAATAAGAAAAATGATAGAGTATTTAAACGAATAAAATTTGAAAATCTAATGATGAAAACAAAAGTTGGCGAGTAAATATGTAGATACTAAAACTTGAGTCTTAAATTTTTTTGAAATCCTGTATTCTAGATAATATTTTATGTATAATATGTAGAATTCTTTTATAAATTTTAAATCTAATTCTAGTTTTAGAGGGGAGCGGACGAAGAGATTATAAAGGAAGAAAGGAGAATGTTCTTAGTGAATATAAAACTCATTATTTAAAGAAATATAAGAATAAAAATGAATAATTTAACCGACCGACTAAATATATTTGCTCATATAAAATTTATTTTTTAAAATCCATCGTGATTTAGATATATCATATCTGGGGTCTGTCTGTGTTAATGTTGATTTATATTCATATATAAATATATTATGAAGGGATATGGGATATGAACCATGAAAAATAATCTTATATTGGGTAGCAAGATTTGGACTCTATATGAGTCACGGGCCAATCTATTTCAGCCCAAGTGAAACTCAGCACTTTAAAAGCGATGTAGAGGAAAATCATTCATATTTACCCTAAAAAGCTCATTTTAGAACCCCCAAACACAAAAATCCCCACCCCATTCATTCCTAAGGGTCGTTTCGTTCACGGCATAAGATATTACCGAAGGAATGAAATTCTCATTCTTTCATTTGGTTGGTCAGTAATTCTATTGTCGATAATCTTTTATTACCAATAGTAGATTTTTTTGGTATATTTCTGGGAATGTGATTACCCTATTCCCTTAGGTATTGTTGGATTACCGACGTTTTGGACTAAAATGTCTTTAAAAAAAATTTTAATATCATTATTCTATCGTTGAATAATAAAAATTCTACGAATGTTATCCAACAAATTTATCTTTAAACTATTTTAGATTTATAAAAAAAATCTATAATTAAAATTTTATATGAAGTTCCGGGATTAAAATAAAATTTTACCCTTTCATTAAATCTATTTATCTTTTCAATTTTGTGTCTTTAAAAATTTTAAATTCATAAAATTTATATAATTTTTTTATTACCAATAATTTTTTATTACCAATAGTAGATTTTTTGGTATATTTTCGGGAATGTGATTACCCACTTCCCTTAGGTATTGTTGGATTACCGACGTTTTGGACTAAAATGTCTTTAAAAACTTTTTTAATATCATTCTTCTATCATTGAATAATAAAAATTCTACGAATGTTATCCAACAAATTTATCTTTAAACTATTTTAGATTTATAAAAAAATATATAATTAAAATTTTATATGAAGTTCTGAGATTAAAATAAAATTTTACCATTTCATTAAATCTATTTATCTTTTCAATTTTGTAAAAAAAATTATATAAATTTTATGAATTTAAAATTTTTAAAGAAACATATAAATTAATTACAGTAATATTATATTAGAATTCAACTTGTTAAATATATATATAATAAGAACAATTTGGTAAAATACACATTCCAATAATATTTTATTTATTTAACTAAATACTGTAATATTACATTCTTGCTAAACCAACCAAACACAAAATACAACATTTTCAGTAATCTTATTCTCCGATAATCTTTTATTCTCACTGATAATCTTACATTCCGTGAGCCAAACACATCTTAAGTATCTAGAAAAAAATGGAGTTTAATGAGAAACTCAAAACAATGATGATTATAATTAAATTATTTAATCTTTTAAAAAAAATTGATATAATTTTTCTAGGATAGCTAGCCTCTCATTTTAACTCTAATCATCGAGACAAGGGACAGATGCGTTAATTTCTCTAGTAGAATAAATGCATACTTATTATTTCAAAAAATATTAAATTAAATTAAATATTTTAAGGAGAAGAAAAAAAATTAAAGAAATTTGCATATCTATTTTTCTTAAAAAAATTTAAAATTTTAAAAATGTTCTTTTAAAAGACCGATTGAACAAAAGAAACATTTTAAAAAAATATAATAATATTTATCTAGAAAACTTGGATCTAAATTCACACACACAAACACACACACATATATATATATATACACACACACATAAACACACAAACACGCATATATATATATATATATTACACTGCTCGAACAGCTAAAAAAATAAAATTTTCTTAATCAATCATAACATCACTCTAACGATACTACTATATATTTTAAAATTGTGGAACATTTATAAGAAAATTTGAACTGATAAATCAAGAAAAGTCCTTAAGATAATTATATGATTTATTACCTAAGGGATTTAAATTAAATGTCATATATAAATTTATTATAGGTACGATTCTTTTGACCTAAATAAAATAAATAATATTTTATTATACTAAAATAATTTTAATTATTTTATTCGATAATCGTTCTAAAAATAAGATAAATAATATTATAATAATACTATTATCATTTAATAAATAATACTAAAATCACTGAATAAAAAAGTTCAAAATCATGAATCACGTCTCAGAGTACAAATATATTAAAATAAGGGTAAATTATACAAATGGTCATTGAAAATTTCAAATGTTTGCATTTAGGTCCCTAAACTTTTAAAACTTACAATACAGTCACTAAACATTTAATTTATTTGCAATATGGTCCCCGACGTAACTTACGTTTCACTGCCGTTATGGTGAATTATATAAATGTCACTGAACTTTTCAGGCACTTGCATTTAGGTTCCCCCAACTTTTAAAACTTACAACACGATCACCAATTACCTTTTAAACCCCAAACTTCAAAATACTTCAATTACACTCTAAACCACAAATTTCAAAATATTTCAATTACATGCCCAACCCCAAATTCATAATACATTCTCAAAATATGCCATAACAAACTGAACTTGAAGCATCAACCCTAAACCCTCAAAATATAACCCTAAACCCTCAAAATATAACCCTAAATGCTAAATTTCCCCACCAATTAACCCAACATAATCAACAACATTTAGTTATTTTGGGTCCATATCAATAAGTGATTATGTTGGGTTTAGGATTTAAAAGATAGATTTAACCAACTATAAGTGAACAATACTCAATTTGATTTGAAAAAATTATTTTTAGACTTGAATTGATTCAAAAAAACTTGATACAAATTGACTTTGAGTTGTAATTTCATAAACTCAACTTAAAAAAAATTCAAGTTAAAATCGAGTTGAAAAATAAAGCTTGAATATCTCAAAAATTTTAGTAATTAGTGGATTAATTTTTAAGTTTGAGTCAAGTCCCTTGACTCTGTATCATATATGTATACCACATATGGAAAAATATGAAGAAATATATGTAATGTATATGGTTAAAAAACTATTTAAATTAGAATCAAATAATATTATAGCATTATAAATATTTATAATTAAATTTAAACAGAAACTCAAAAATTCAATTCAATTCGACTTGATTTAAATTTTATAAACTCAAATCGAAAAAATTTCGAGTCAACTATTTTATAAACTAAACTGAATTAGAATAAAATAATATTATAATATGATAAATATTTATAATTAAATTTGAACAAAAACTCGAAAATTCAATTCAATTTGATTTAAATTTTATAAACTCAATTCGAAAAAATTTCGAGTCAATTGTTTTTATAAACTGAATTGAGTATTTAGCTCCAATATAACCATAAATCCAACATAATCACTTATTGTTCACTTATAGTTGGTTAAATTTTTTTAAAAATGGATATATTTTGAGGGTTTAGGGTTATTGCTTCAAGTTCAGTTTGTTACGGTAGATTTTGAGAATGGATTATGAATTTGGGGTTGGGCATGTAATTAAAGTACTTTGGAATTTGATTTTTAGAATGTAATTAAAGTATTTTAAAATTTGGGGTTTAAAATGTAATTGGTGATTGTGTTGCAAGTTTTAAAAGTTGAACTGACCTAAATGCAACGTCTTAAAAGTTCAGTGATCATTTATAGAATTTACCCTAACGGAAGTGAAAGAGAC